TGACAGGCAGCTGCCTGTCCAGTGTAGGAGGGGGAGGGGGAGGAGTATTAGAAGTCCCTGTGGAGGTGGGGCTGCACCTGACAGACAACCACCTGTTAGGTGTAGGAGGTGGGGGGAGTGTGTTGGATGCCATCAGAGAGGCTGGGGCAGCAGCTTTGCTTCACCTCACGGGGGGTTTTTGGCCACTCCTGATTTCCTCAACTGTCATTAGCTGTCTGCAGTCCCCTGTAACTGTTGGGGTTTTTTTAAACCTCAGAACACTGAGCTCTGCAGCTGACCAATCAGAGAGTGAGGGTATAAAAGATCTGTGTTGGCACTGCTATTAGCCTGCAAATCTAGTAACTGCATTCCAGTTCCCAGGAAGCGATCTGTGGGGGGGGAAACCCATAGGACACTCATGTTTCAGGAGATTCTGGTTAGAAATTTCAAGATCTCCCTCTCAAATAATATTTTCCTATCAGAAGCCACATGCTGAGAAACGGTGCAAATTCTTAATAATTTAACAGGGCCGCTTGTTGGTTTTTTTAATTAAAAAGTAACTGACGGCTGTTACAGCAGTGCTTGGAGGTAACAGGCTGGGAAGTTACAGAGAACAGGAAAGAACAACGAGAGCAATGATGCAATTACCATGGACACCACAGAAATTGCATTTCTATCTTACAATAGAAAAAAACCAACAAATCAGCTCCTGGGAAATTGGGAGTGTAATGGAGAAAGAACAGGAGAACTGGGGGTTATCACATCTATTGTCTGGAGTCAACATTAGTACCAGGGCTCTTTTTGTAGAAAAAGCCCAGCAGGAACTCATTAGCATAATAGGCCACACCCCTGACAGCACAGCTCATTAGCATATTATGCCACATCCCCCATGCCTTCCCTTGGCTTGCCTGGGCGCCCCGCAGCTGCGGGGAGATGTGTGTTGGCACTGCTATTAGCCTGCAAATCTAGTAACTGCATTCCAGTTCCAGTTTAAACTGCCTTCCTTCTGTAGCCACGCATGCAGAGGTTTTGGCTGTAGTGGGTGTGGCCAACTCTGAAGCCAGCCGGAACTCCGTTCCTGTGCGTTCCTGCCCAAAAATATCCCTGATTATAACTGTTTGTATGATGGATGCCACTTGTACCACAGTTGACCTGTGTGGAGCCTCTGTCTCTCTTTTATTCTCAAACTGCAACTCAGTTCGGATCATGACCTGCTGAGAACAATCTTAGGATATGCAGATTCTGTATGTGGAACCTGTTAATAATGGTCCAAGCTTAGAGGTTTCAAACAAATGGCAGCCTGTTTTGCTCTACTGGCATTAACTAGGCCTCACTGTAAGGGTAACTACTTCTTTTTCAGAGAAGAAGAGAAGAGATTGGATTTATACCCCACCCTTCACTACCCAAGGGAGTCTCAGAGCGGCTTACAAACTCCTTTCTCTTCCCCTCCCCACCACAGACACCCTGTGAGGTAGGTGGGGCTGAGAGAGCTCTGGCAGAAAGTGCTCTTTTTCAAGGACAGCTGTGCCAGAACTATGGTTTGCCCAAGGTCATCCAGCAGGTGCAAGTGGAGGAGTGGGGAATCAAACCCGGTTCTCCCAGATTAGAGAACCACTACACCAAACTGGCTTTCAGAAAGCTAAGCATCACAGATAATGTTTATTTCAGAAGATCATATTGAAAACAGAAACTGCACCATCAAATTGAGTCTACAAGTGTGCATGAACTGATATGCCACTATTCAATGGAGTAATTGGCCACTCTCCCACCCTGCCTTACACTAGCAAAAGATCCTCCATACTTACTGGAACAATCCCAAACTGCATGAACAAACAGGTCAGGCCGACAGCTGTAATCAGATAGGTAGCTCGAGTAACCCATTGCCTTGAGATCACTTCTACTGATCCGGTATGCTGTTTCCCCAAGGTCTCTTCTCCGCTTTTCGGTCTTTGTTGCTCTCTTTTAGAATGGTTTTCTAAATTCATGCTGCAGCAGAGAAACGATCACGCACAGTGCTTCGCCTGGAGCGATGAAACATGATAACAAAGAACTAGCTAGTATGGAGCACAAACCCACTAAAATGTCAGGTACAAAGTTCATGTTTTGAACTTTGAAATGAGTCACTATGTTTGATTGTGCTTTTATAACGACAGCGATTTGATTAAGTCTCCTACTTTTACATAACCGACTTTGGTAGAAATAACCACTTGGAGACTCAAGAATCTCATTGCAAAATACTTGTTTCTCCATGAAAAAAACTTATGACACCTGGTATTTGAGGATTCTGTGCACTAGAGGAATCTGCGATAAGGAGTCCAGTTACACACAAACCAGTTCAAAGTGAATTTCTGCTGTATTTGTATTTCAAGAGGAAATCCCAAAACAATTCTGAATATATCAGTTTACTAAGTTGTTTTAGCACTGGGACTTGGCTATTGATTTACAGAACAGATATACGGTAGTTTATAATCAAATGGAAAATGGAATCTTTCATGAACTCAATATTATGTATGTTTTTGTTTACATGCAAATGTCAAAACACAGTATGGGAATCAGCAGTTTATCCCCAGGTTCACTGATGGTACTTCAGATAATAAACAATAAAACCATGACATTTTCATGCACAAATTAGAGTATTTAAACATTCAATAATTGGAAATGGTTAGGATAATAAATGCAGTGATGTTTAACAGATCTCCTTGCAAGTCTAATCCCCGTTTTATTATGGCAGTGGCTTTCTTCCTTCAAAAGGCACTTACAGTCAGGAGTCATTTCGTAGAAAAAGAGGTGCAGGAGCTCATTAGCATAACTCATTAGCATAAGGCAACACCCACCTGTAACGATATGAGCTTATGTTTGTATTTCTGTATAGTGGTGATGCTGCTTATGTGTGTCTCTAGCATGAATACCTATGCAATATGTATTCAGGGATTGCTGTTTGGTTGTGTTGCTTTGTTCTGCATCCCATGCTTGCCTAGAAATAGGCTGGCCTGGGCCTGCCGTTGCACATACGGACCATGTGCGTCCCTGGAATGTATCCCATGACTCTTTGGGATGGAGAAGACACCGCGCCATTGCACCCACTTGGAGAGCTATGGAAAATCCCCAGCGAACCCCGGCATTCTTGGAATGGAAAGAGCAAGTGACCCTACTCCCTTAATCTGGTTTGGAGATCTAAAGACAATAGCGTTTATGGCTTTGGAGCAGGAACCAGATCTGCAAATCAAGAGGGTGTCCATGGGAACGGAAGATTCACACCTTGCCAAAAGGCACCTTTGATGTAGAAGTAGGATCTAATACTGAAAGCAGTATTTATGGTGATCATGTTTTCATTGAAAAATATGGATTTACTTACAATCTAAAGGAAGGCCGATGGTAACATTGCACTCAACAGAGCATAAACAACTTTCCTTGCTTGCATTTACTGCCAAAGATTGGTAAAAGCAAACAAAAACCTCACTTCCTGGTCTGTACCTAACAGGGACTGTGTTAAAACTATCCAACAACTAGCTGAGCAGAAAAATGAAAAATGTAAGCCAGATATCGGAGCTGACCCCCAAGTGGAAAAGCAAATCCAGCCAACCGAACCAACTACAGCTCAGTCTGGAGGGGGGAAATCTTAACCACAAACCACCAAACAAAGGGGTGTTTAAGTGCGCAAACTCTGATCAGGGAGAACCAGGTTTGATTCCCCACTCCTCCACTTGCACCTGGCTGGCTTGACCTTGGGCAAGCAATAATTCTGGCACAGCTGTCCTTGAAAAAGAGCAGTTTCTGTCAAGAGCTTTCTCAGCTCCACCTACCTCACAGGGTGTCTGTCGTGGGGAGGGGGAGGGGAAGGAGTTTGTAAGCTGGTCTGAGACTCGCTTTGGTAGTGAAGGGCGGGGTATAAATCCAATCTCCTCCTCCTCCTCCTCATCTTCTTTTTCTTCTTCTTCTTTATTTGGTGGGTAATTCCCCAAATTAATAATGGTGTATGTGTGTGCATTGGATAAGGAGACTGATTTTCTCTTCCCCATTTTTCACCCTCGACCTTCTTCAGCCATGTTCAGCATTCCATGATCCTGGAGCATATTCAGTCTTCATCAGTCCCCCCCCAAAAAAAAATTTCCTTGTGATTAACATAGGAAGACATATTTTTCTGCGTATCTAGGGAGTTCCCCAGTCAGATAAAGCCAGTCAAGTGGTTTGGTTTTGCTGCTGTCATCATCAAAATAGGGGCCAGCCACTTTACTATGGCACATAATGACCCCTTGGGGCCCACAAAGACTTGTGGGGAGGGAATAATAGTTTGGAAATTTCTCCTAAAATTGAGCAGGCTGGGTTCCCCTCAACCAGGGGTCATTGCGTAGAAAAAGAGGTGCAGGAGTTCATTACCGTAACTCATTACCACAGCTTATTTGCATATGCCCCACCCCCTGACATCACCGGAAGTGTGTCAGAAGAAAACACCCACCACTCAGGATCCACTGGACTGTTTTGGATTGCTAGCTATTGGGGGGGGGGGAACACACAGATCTGCCCTCACAGAGGAGGGAGAGCTTGTACCTGAAGGTGGGTCGGGCTCTGCAACTTACCTGGCTGTTTCTTGCTCTGACTGAGGGCTGCTGGGAGCAGGGGGAGGGGTTTGTTGCATGTGCCCGTCCCCTGGGCTCCTTACCGCTGAAGCTCTGCTCCTGTGTGCTCCCACAGGAAATGACCCCTGCCCCCTTTTTAATCTTTCAACTGACACTGAGCTGCTCTCAGCATTCCATAATTTCTGGAGCAGTTTTGGCCCTCAGCTGACTGGATGTTTACGTTGGTTTCTTTTGGTTAACTGGAAGTGATGTCTTTCTGCATATCTGAGGGAGTTTCCAATACTTTGCCTATGGTTGGTCTAGGATTGTGGCTAGAGGCCCATGAGTAATTATGGGAAAGGGAAGAATTTGAAAATCCTACTCCACCATCCGAATAAATCTTCACCTTCTCTTCCTCTTAACTGGCACCCAGCTTACCCTCTTCTGTTCTTTCTGGAACAGTTTCAGTCTTCACCAAGCTGTTTAAAGGGGTTTGCTAGTTAATTTACAAAGTCCTGTTTGTCTGAACAGAGCAACACCCCTCTAAGTCCATTGAAATTAATGAGTTTAGAGAGGTGTAACTCTGAGTTTAGAAGGGCTGTGGTGGATCGAGTGGTTAAGACGCTGAAGCTGTAGACCGGAAGGTCGGTAGTTTGGCAGTTTGAGACCCGAGTGCCGCAAGACGGAGTGAGCTCCCTTCTCTGGTCCCAGTTCCTGCCAACCGAGCAGTTCAAAAGCAAGAAATTAAGTTGATAAATAGGTACCACTTCAGTGGGAAGATAACAGCATTCCGTGCACCTTGGCGTCTAGTCATGCCGGCCACATGACCACGGAAACGTCTTCGGACAGCGCTGGCTCTTCGGCTTGGAAATGGAGATGAGCACCGCATCCCTAGAGTCGGATTCGACTGGCTTTCGAGCAAGGGAAACCTTTACCTTTACTAACTCTGCTTAAAAATGCATAGTCAGAGCCATAGTGCCTGGCACATGAATTTACTCTGTCACTGAGGAGGCTTAGCTCATATGGGAACTCCTGGAGGTAGTTATTCCTGCTCGTGTTGTAACTTGTTGTAGATGAAGCAGGGAGAGGTGATTTTGTTAATCTCTCTGCTTCATTTTCAGAAAAGGAATGCGTGAGCCAAACCACAGGATTTACGTTGTTTGGAGTTTCATTGCATGGCCTGAAGACACATTATCACGTGCTGCTACAGAACAGGGCTGGGGCTGGTCAGTGTCCGTATCGGAAACTCTGTGCAGGTTGCCTTGAGCTCCGTGGGGGAACGGAGGGATACAAAACCCTGGCTTAACTGTTTTAACTGTGTGTTTTAATCAGGGCTCTTTTTGTAGAAAAAGCCCAGCAGGAACTCATTAGCATAATAGGCCACACCCAACAGCAGGAACTCATTAGCATATTAGGCCACAACCCTGACGGCACAGCTCATTAGCATATTAGGCCACACCCCCATGTGACCAGAAGTGTGGTCATCCAGCCACACCCACCTTTTGCTTCTTATTCTGTTTACCTTGTTTGTTGTCAACCAGGGCCTTTTTTTGTAGCAGGGACTCCTTACATGTTAGACCACACACCCCTAATGTAGCCAATCCTAATGAGTTTCTGCTGTTGGGTGTGGCCTATTATGCTAATGAGTTCCTGCTGGGCGTGGCCAACTCGGGAGCCAGCCGGAACTCCGTTCCTGTACGTTCCTGCCCAAAAATAGCCCTGGTTTTAATTAATTTCATGTTTTTTTTTTAATTCTGTTCACTGTTGTCACCTGCCTTGGGTCCTAGCTGTGTTAAGAGAGATGTTGGGTACTCAGATGTCCTGAATAAATATGTAAATGCAAAGGTAACAAATGAATAACGCAGATCTATCCTTTGGCATTTCTACAAAGGAGAAACATAGCGTGAACGGAAGAAAAAGAGACACTGCTGGTTTATTATGTGTAGTGCTTCTAGAACAGGAAATACAGATTTGCCCTTTGATCGTTCGAACTTAACAAAAGTCCTAGCAGGGGAAAGTGAGTGGATCATGTATGGCGTTTCAGTCAAGCCTAACATCTGAAAATCCCCCTTTTTATTTTTAAAAAGTTGAATTGGTTTCTATGAGCATAAGAATGCGCTTTGCTGGATCAGGCCATCTATACCAGCATCCTATTTCAAGCTGTGGCCAACCAGCTGTCCTGGAGGGTTAAGTAAACAGGGCACAGAGGCCAAGGCCTTTCCTGATGTCTCCTAGCATTGGTATTCAGAGGTCTGCTTGCTCTGAATATGGAGGCTCCCTTTAGTCACTATGGCTAGTAGCCACTGATGGACTACTCCTCCACGAATCTGTCTAATCCCTTTTCAGAGCCATCATCGCTAGTAGCCATTAATATATCGTTTGGCAGTGAATGCCACAATCCAATTATTTGTTGTCCTGTCCTTTCTCTG